AATTTTTTTTTTATTTAAGAGGAAAAAGAGAAAAACACAAAACAAACCAAAGCGGCGTAAGGGTACACGCAATACAGAACTACAAAACAAAACAAAACAAAAAACCATAACAGTAAGAAATTACCTGCTAGTAGATTACACACTATTTTCTTGAAAATCGTTCCTCAAATCACAGTATCAAAGAACACAAGGTGGACATTCAAACAGGGAGACTGCAAACAGCTGTGTTCAATGTTCCAAAAACATTGATAAAGTCAGCTATTTAACACCCCCAAACACACTTGCTGTTATATCCGTTAGAGCTCTTTTTCTTTTTTCTTTTTTTTTTCCCTCTCTTTTTTACAACAAAATTTACACATCTTGGATTTTATTACTCCTTAGTGCTTATTACTTTCTTTGGGGGGGGGGAGAATACAGTCAAATATGGCAAAACAAAGCTGTCAGTCAATACCAAGGATAGACATAGCACATGGTGTAGAACAGAGTACAAGTTTATCAACAATGGTTATCAACGTTGTCCCTTGTTTCCTTAAAAAGAATTGTCTATCTTATTAGATATTATAAAGTTGGACAAAACAGTAGAGAACAAGACCAATAAAACTTAGGCATTGTAAACATTACAGGACTTCCAAAGAAGACAATAGTCAAACCAGAATGGGTATCTTAGTGAATCTTATTGTCTTCAAAGTAGTTGCCTATGTCTTCAAACTTGATACTATCATATAGAATGGAACAGAGTCTAATCAGTCAAAACAAGATCGTGGGAGTACTACAGGACTTCAAAACAAGTTAATAGGAAATCGAAAAGAGTTACTATTTATCTATCCTAATTTTTTTGAATTTTTTCTTTAATTAAGACAAACATAAGAAATGACTAAATAATTTTTTTTTGAAACAATAAGGGGGAGATTGAGATAAAACAGGACATAACAATATAACAATAGAGGTCACAGCATGACTGTTTCAATAACCTAGTACTTCACCACCTTATAACCTGACTTAATAGTAGTTACCATAGTGTCTTTTTCCTTGAAATATTTGGGTAAAACTTCATATACTCTAGCTTCAAATATTTTCATATCAAGAAGCCCAGAATAAAGCCTTTCTAATTAATGAGTGAAAACTTTATAAGGCTTCAAGGCCACCTAATGGGGAATCATGATTACCACATATTTTTATATATTTGAATCATTACTTACATTAGGGAAACTATTCGGTATTCACACATGCGAGATTGATTTATTTCACTTATGAGTATGGTCTCAAGCTGTGCCCATTTATTGATAAATATCTCAATGTGATCCTTCTTTATAGCTGAATAATACTCCATTGTATAGAAATACCACAACTTTTTTATCCATTCCTCAGTTGATGGGCACTTGGGTTGTTTCCAAGTTCTGGTGATTACAAATTGTGCTGCTATAAACATAGGTGCACATATATCACTGTGGTATGATGCTTTCAGTTCTTCTGGGAATATGCCTAGAAGTGGAATAGCTGGAATAAATGGGATTTCCAGTCCCAACTTTTTGAGAAATCTCCAGACAGATCTCCACAAAGGCTGTACCAGTCTACACTCCCACCAGCAGTGCAGGAGAGTTCCTTTTTCCCCACAGCCTCTCCAGCATTTGTTGTCGGTTTTCTTGATCCTGGCCATTCTTTCAGGAGTGAGATGGTATCTCAGTGTGGTTTTAATTTGCATTTCTCTAATGACCAATGATGATGAGCATTTTTTCATGTATTTATTTGCCATTTGCATTTCTTCATCTGAGAATTGCATATTCATCTCAGATGCCCATTTTTGGATTGGATCTTTGAATTTCGGAGGTCTGAGTTTCTTTAATTCTTTGTATGTTTTAGACAAGAGGCCCTTGTCTGAGAGAGAGTTCACTAAAATCTTTTCCCAGTTTGTGGGTTTTCTTTTCACTATGCTGGAGATTTCTTTTGACATGCAGAAACTTTTTAATAAGAAGTGGTCCCAGTTATTGATTCTGGGAAGTATTTCCCGTCAGCACTCAAAATTAAAGAGGAAAAGATTGTTTAGCTCACAGTTTGTGGAGGTTTCAGACCATAATCAGCTGTGGAGGTTTCAGGTCATAATCAGCTGGTTGGCATGGCACAGGGCAACATTTCAAAAGTGGCAGAAGACAACAAAAGCAACAAGAGCAAAATTGGGGGAAGAGCAAGCCTCTTTTCCTCTCTTATATTTTAAGCAGGCTACTCTGCCTTGGAGTGAGGGAGTTGTAGTAGCACTCATGCCATCTGCATGCCTTCCTCTTGCACAGGATGAAAAAGTTTACAAATAAAGAATCCTGACTCACTGCTGAGTAATTAAACTTCTAAACTTCTTAAATTGACACAATATATCAACCATTGCACAATCCTGCCTGCTAAAGGTGGGAACACCTAACTCTTGTAGTGTTGGAATAAGTTTATAATTATTTGTGCTCAAAGTGAAATTATGGTTTGCTCAGATGGATTTAGCAGCAGAAGGTGTTTGTTGCTGAATTGACATTGGCTATACAGTGATGTCCACAGGGCCACTTTAGTTACTTTTCTGTTGCTGAACACTAGGCAGGTGAGGTAGCTTCAGTGAGTAGGAAAGGAGATGGGCTGGCCTCTTACTAGGATGAGTCCATGACTGTAGCTGTGTTGCGCTTATGTGGAGGCAGCTTCCATTGGCTCCAAGTAGGAAGCCCCATGCCTTTCTTGGTAACTGGCTCCAATGCTGGCAAAGGAGGGATCTCGGAAGCTGTCAGTTTTCAGATATCAAAAATAGAATCACATTCTTTCTCACTCAGCAAGCTTAAAAGGCTGATTTTATTGGGACAGGCTAAGTTAGTGGCAAATGGTTTTTGTTAAAGTATATATAGTTTGAAGAGTAAGGTAAACGTCATCATGGTTGGTCCACACAATGGTGGGTATTGTGTGGATGATGTGGTCTGCTGAGGTCTACAAGTGTTGATATGAAGATCAGGGGCATCAAGCCTAACTGGATCCACTACAGGGTCAGAAGGATGAGGGGGAAAACTGCAGAGTTGATTGCTTGGCAATTCTGTATCAGCCCAGCACATTCTCATGCTAACTCTCACCTTAAATTATTTTAGTTCTTATCTGTGCTAAACTCTGCTTTTGCTGTTTTGAATATGTCTTTCCTTCAGCACCTTGAAAATAACCTTGCAGCACCTGTGGTGTTTCATTTTTGCTTTTTGAAAAACTTTTGATGTAAAGACAGATTTTAAGATAATTTATACACTTATTTCCTTTTTTCTTTCCTGAAAAGTTTACCATCAAGAACTGATCTCATAGAATGTCTAACTGAAAAACACTCATTTTCCAAAACAGATTTGTTTGAGAGGAGAGAGAAGATAGAATCTGTTTTTTTTTGTTTGTTTGTTTTTTTTGGGTTTTTTTTTTTTTTTTTTTTTTTTTTTTTTTTTTGGTACCAAGAATCAAACTTATGACCTTGTGCTTGCCAGGCAGGCACATGCCACTGGAACTATATCTCTGGCACTAAAATATTGATACTGGGATCGAATTTAGGACCTTGCACTTGCCAGGCAGGTTCTGTGCCACTGAGCTATCCCTGGCCCAGAAGAACAGGGCCAGATAACAAGTGTGTCCCCCAGCCCAGGGGCCTGCGGTGACCACACTTTCCTAAATGACATCTCAGCCAGGTCCTACCCATATCTTCGTTCAAATCTTTCTTTCCACCTACCAATAACATCCAATATCTGCACCATGGTTGAAAAATGAGCAGGTAGGGGAGAGGCTGGGCCATGAATGCTGACCTTCGTCTGTCCCAACTCCTCATGCCTATCTGTTCATGCTAATTACACAAACACCGTGCTGCTCAGCCCTCTGGCAGGTAACTGAGGCAGGAAGAGTCAACTTCTCTAGTTTCCTTTCCTTGTTTCAGGGCTCCCTGCCCATTCACCATCCTATCAGAAGGATGTGTATATGCATGAATACGCATGTGCACACACACACAGAAACACAATTCATCTTTCACATGGAATAATGTCTTGATAATCTTAGTATTTGATTCTAAGCGTTCTTTATCTGCATTCAGAATGGCAACCACCCATCCCCTTATGGATCCACTCAACAGAGATACTAAGCCAGTCCTGGGCAAGGTGGGGCTTTTCTGTAGCCTCTACTTGGCAGTCTCATGAGGGGAATCAAGGGGATGCAGGACTCTTACATGCCCTTTAAGAGGGAAGACAGAGAAGGCCTTGATCAGATTCCCCTACTGCTTCCGTGCCCCACTGATGCATGCAGTGAGAGATCTGGGGACCTTAGTAGCTCTCATTGTATCTCTTTGTGCTATAGTAAGTTGCCAGCCAGTAAGAGAAAGAGAATAGTTTTTCAGTGTTTTCCTGTTTAGTTTTCATCTTCACAACAGAATTCTTTCTTTTTCCCAAGGAGAATCTGAGAACAATGTCTTTTGTTTTAAGAAGTTCTAGGAAAAGTCCACTGGCATCAGTAGCTGGAGATCTGGTGAGGAACTGAGAAGATAGGATCTCTTGGGTGTCCCTGTTGATAAGGTCTTCAGAGAATCACTGGATAGATACCCAAAGGAGGAAGCCCAAGGATGGTTCCTGTCATTGAGTTGAACTCTAAAGGAGCCACAGGATGACAGGTGGTTGCCAGAATTCTGGCAAAGTTTTTGTAAACAGTGACTTCCTGGAGATGGCACCCTCATGGGCTGTGGGTAGAAGAAAAGGCTGCTGTATCACCAAGGTGGGGCATCTGCCAGAGACACATACCAAGGTACTTGTAAAACTGGGACTGTTGGTCAAGTTCTAAGGATCCCTCTGGGCAGAGGCAGGGGTAGCCATGAGCAGCCCTAGACCACCTCACCACCACTCCATGGTTTGGTCCAATAGAGAAAACAAATGGGAAAGAACATATAATGCAAGTTCTTTACTGGTCTATTGGCAGACAATTTTGAATTCTTTCTTGGGAGAAAGGGTGATGAGGTCAAGAAAAACACAGACTTGGGAGAATTTACTTGGTATATTGCTGGTATTTCATTTAAAAATATTTCTCAATTTGTTTGCATATATACATTGTTATTCCAGGCAGCCACCTCTATTTCAGCAGTCCTTAGCCCTCCTTATCCGCCCAACACTCAAGACCTACACAGATGGATGAGCTCTTGGTAAATGCCCACAACTCAAATACCAACCATGCATATTCTAAAAAATTCATTTATCAAAAAGGGGGATAGGGACTGGTACCCACGAGACATCCCTGCCCTTTTGTAAACGTTGACACCAGACTACTGGAACCTAGGGAAAGTGTGTCAATATGAGGGTACCACACTGTGTGTCCATAGGGCCTCAGACACACTGCAACCATATCCATTAAGTCTTAAGAGTCTGCCCCTGCTGGAGCTTAAGGAGCACTGATGGCAGAAATGAGGTAGTCACCCTGTGCCTGAGAGTTCACATCCGACAGCATCGACAGAGTCATTGGTGGAGTCATCGGCCTGGATGACTCTGGTGGTGATGCTTTGAATCAACCCATTCTCTTAAGCAAGATGACTCTATGCGTGTTGCACTCCAGGGCTCTGCTAGTTTCTTCTCTTGGACTTCCTGCACCTCTCTGTCCAGAGAAAGATCTGCCTTGTTCCCCACTAGTACCACCAGCAACAGGGTCTTCCCATGGCATTGGTGTAACTTCTGATAGACACTCAGTGACCTGGTATAACCATATACCCCAAAGATGAACCTATAGGGAAGAATACTGTACTCAGAAAAGAGGATTAAAGAATTGCAGGTGGAGAAAGCCCAACAGAGACTTGGGTGTAGGGAGGTGTGGCAACCAAAGCAACAAAGTTGCTCATGCTCCAGCTGCCCAAGGCAAGCTAAAGAAAAACAAGTGCTGCTCCCTCTGGTAGCTGGCTAGTTGATCATTGTGTGACTCAGAAACATTTACATATGGTATGTTTGTGATGCATAATGACCAGTTTCATTGTATTTGGTACGTGTACATGATGTATCTTAATTCTTTTTGTTTTTACTTGTCTCCTTTCCTTCCCCTTTTTTCCTCTCCCTTCATTTCGTGTTGTTATTTGTGGATTTATCATGGCTCCTTTACCTTTCTCTCCCCTATCCAGTGAGTAATGTGAAAAGTGTCACTGAGTATACTGCTGCAGGATGGGGAGGGAACAGCAAACCAGCTAAACCCTCAGAGCCTATACTGTCTGGAATTAGTGAGCAATACAAATGAAATCCAGGGCCCAAAAGGCGCAGACCAGCAATGAGAACATGGGAGGGGGTCAGAAAGGATACATTTTTTGTCTCTAAACCTTTGTCTCCACCTATCTTTTGTCCTTCCATAATGCATGGTCACAATAAGGTCAGTTGACCTGCCTTGCTACCATGGTATGAGACACTGTGGCAGACCTATTGTGTACTCCTCACTGTGGTGAATATGGGCATGAGATAGCTCAGACCCTGGAACAAAATCCAAAGAAGCAAGGAATCAAGAAATTTGGAGCAAAGGCTTTTAATTCAGGCCCTGCTATGCAGCCCCCTTAGGATCAACCCAGAGACTGCACCCCACAGAGGCTGAAGAAAGGGATTTTAAAAGCAAGAGAGAGAGAGAGAAAACAAACAAACAAACAAAAAAACAACCCACAGAGCTGTTAAGCTGTTGACTTATTCCTGACAGCATCTGGAAACTGTAAAGCTGCCGACTTAGTTCTGATAACATCTGGAGCTTTTGGTGCATTTCGTTACTCCCATCCTGCGGATAAACATTATCTCGGAATAGCACATTTGCAATAACATGCGGAGAAGAAAGTAGAAAGTTAATTATCTCGGGACAGCTCATTAGCAATAACATGTGGAAAGGGGTAGAAAGTTACAAGAAGCTGAAACTTCAGTTTTTACGAGGATCAGAAACTTAACCCTATCGGCGCATACAGAACAAGAGGAGGTGCACTGGTTAGAGTTAAGCCATAACAGGTGCAACTCTTCCCAGGTATCTGCTGCTGGTCTCCAACTTCATCATGTTGTTTACGTTCTGCTGAAAGATCATATCATTACTGAAGGGACTATTCTCTAGGCACTGATTGCAGTCAGAGGGAGGTGTGCAGCTCTGGACTCTAATACTAATCTTAACCCTAACCCAACCTTATTCATGAAAGGTGACCAAACTCATGACCTAATCATCTCTCAGAGCCCCACTGCTAGATATACTGACAAAGGGAAATTAGGCATCAACACATGGATTTTGGTGGGAAGCAAACATTCAGTCCATTGTAATCACAATCCCCGGAACAATCATTGAAAAAAAAATACAAATATGAGGTGACAGGGCAAGAAAGGTGATTGGGATGAAGATGATCAAAAGATATGAGGTGTGTACCAATCTGCCAAAATGAAATACAATGCTCTAATAACTGATGGGCACTAATAAAAATCTCAGTACAAAGCTACACAGCTAAAACACCAATATATAATCTAAAATGTCATAATACAAACAAGGCAGAAAAGGGAAATCAGGAACAACAACAACGAATCAGAAGTGACAAACAGAAAATAACAAAATGGTAGGCCTAAACTGAACTGTATCAATAATTACATTAAATGTGAATGCTCTAAACACATCAATTAAAATTGTCACCAGACATGGTGGTACACAACTGTAATACCACCACTCTGGAGGTTGAGGCAGGAGATTGCTGTGAGTTTGAGGCCAATCTGGGTTATATGAACTACACAAGACATAGTCTTGTGTAAAAAAATACTGTCAGAATTTAAAACAACAACAAAGAACCCAGGAACTGTTTGTATTCCATTTGAAATATGATGCAATAGATTAAGTTTAAGCAAAAGTGGGAAAATATACATGGCAAATATAGTAAGAGGCTGGAGTGGCTAGGTAATTATCAAGCTAAGCAAACTTCAGAACAAGGAAAATACTGGTATAAGAAAGGATACTCCATAATTATAAATGATCAAATTCATCAAGAAGATACAACAACCCTAAATGTATGTACACCTCATAATAGACCATAAAAAACAAAAAACAATGCTGGGCATGGTGACATCCCTGTCATCCCACATGAAGTATTTGGGAGCCTGTGACAAGACAGCCTGTTTAGAAATCCTATAAAAAATTTAAATGCTGGTATAATTTAAAGAACTATGTAATTATAGTTATTTACATACACTTTCGTCTGTAATTAACTAGTAGAAAATCATTAAGGACAAAAACCCAAAAAACACCACGGGCTGGGGCTGGAGCCCAGCGACTGAGCACGTGCCTCAGAGGTGGGAGTCCCTGGCTTCACTCCTCGCCACAAAACCCCCGCTTTACTAATTTGTGATTTCTTCCATCATAAGCCGCATTTCTGCCCCACCTCCCCCAGTTTCTCAGCTGGCCTTGGGCTCCCACTCGGGCCTCACCACCCTATAGCGGGACTGCAAGCCTGCACCGCCATCGCTGAGCCATCTGCAGTCCTCGGCCGTCCTGTTCTGAAGATATGTAGCTGCTTCACTTCCAAAAAAATTATACTGTCAAGTAAGGAGACATCCTGAGGTGAATTTTAACAGTTTTCTCAAAATAAAACAAATTAAGACGTAAAACTATTCAAGCAAATTACTTAGTAATTAAAACTAAGGTTCCATACGCAGCACGGACAGCACGGCTCAGGCCTGGGGTTGGAGTACCTGCCGGGCGGCGCAGGACATGGGGAGCAGAGCCCGAAGCAGCCCAGGCGGCACACCGTAGCCTCCTCCTCAGGAACACCGGACCAGCGGCTGGAGAAAAACACCCGCTCCCGTGCGGACAAAAAGACTGGGCGGCCAGCGAGAGCGCGCACGCTGGTCCGAGGCGCCACCACGCCCCTTCTTGGTCGTCCCAGAGCCAACGCGCACATCCGGTTAAGAGGGCTCGCGTCGGCGCAGTGTCTGTGAACATGGCTGCCACCGCTTGTCTGTGGTGAGTACAGCTGCTCGTCTCCTTTCCGTTTCCTCGTTTTCTCACTGGTGGTGACGTGGGAGGGGCAGCTGCCCGGTGCCGGTATGGTGGCGAGCGAGCGGAGCATCTGCGTACGAGTTCATGCGGGCAGTGGGCGGCCCGGGCGGGTTGGCCCTGGACGTAAGCGGCTGTTACCGCGGCATGGGTATCCCCGGCACTTAGGAACCCCTGGTCTCAGGCCCAGCCGGCGAGGCGGCTCCGGCGAGAACCGGCAGGTGTCTGTCGCCTGGACCCACGTCGCAGCCTTGTGCTGTTTACTTTTCCCGCATGTTTTGTTTTCTTTTGTGTTAGCCAAGAAAACATGTTTAAACGTGTACTAAAGAGATTTTAGAATCTACAAGTCTAAGCTTAATCAGGAAAAGCAAATTATAAATTCAATCCTCCTAAGTCCAAGGGAAATCAAACAATTATTCCTTTAAAAGTTTACTCAAATTACGTTTTTTTTCTCATTTTTATTAACACATGTTTGCGGTACATGATTACATCCCACATCCGTACTTGTTTAGCATCCTTTTCACAGCCATCTTTCTTGGTTTACAATTTTATTTCCTTAGTCAGCTCCCCGCTCGCAATATTTTGTAAGTTTTCTGCATACGGAAGAGCTGGAAGACCCGAGCATTGGACAATATTAGAATAGAGAATGTCTTCTGCGATTGCTATACCCTGTCCTTTCTTCTTTTTGCCTTTTTTTTTTTTACATTTCAAAATAAGTTGCATCTATCTCTGTATTTTTTCCTCAGACCTTTCCTTATATTTAACATGAAATAGAATTAAGTATTGCTTTTTCTTTTTATTTTTTTTTTCATGTTGGGAGATGAAATCCACTGATCAGCACTTTCATCCCTTTTTATTTTTAAAGTTTATTTTCAGATAGGATCTTGCTGAATTTCTGACACTGGTCTCAGAGGTTGCCATGCTGTTGCCTCAGCCTCCTGAGTAGTGGGAATTACATGCATGTGCCACTGTGTGTGTCTGGCTTTAAAATACTAGTTTTGGAGGCAAAATTGGCTTACCATGAAATGCACAGATCTTCATGGTGTGAATGGCAGAGCTTTGAAACATGTTAAACCTTTATTAAAAATTACAATCACTCTGGAAATGTCCTTAAGCTCTGGCTTCTAAAAAAATGTTTTGAAAACCAGCCCCCAGTTTGTCCTCTTTTTTTCCCAGTGCCAGGCAACTTTATGTTTTTACTTCTTTCTCCCTTTCTATCTAGTTTATTTTGAAAAGTTTCATTCCTCCAGAGAAGTTGCAGGAATCATTCAAGCATTCAGATATAAAGCTATCACTTTTGCTACATCAATTTCACCTTTTTTCCATTTTTAAGCACATGCACTTTATATTTTATATACATATAGTATATGATGTGGTCTGATGTGATACAGGCATATTTTACATACACTTATTTTTTTATTGAATTCCTGAAAATGTATTGCAGGCATCATGACAGTGTACCTTGAAATGCTTTTGCCTGGCTATCCTAAGAAGACCATTCTCAAACAAACTACAATGCTGTTATCGTGTTCAACTACTTTATTATTGATAAGGAGTTCTTGTGTAATATTATACAGTCTAGCTGAGTGTGGTATCACATGCCTATAATCCCAGCAGTTAGTTCAAGGCCAGCCTGGATTAGAGAGAAAACCTGTTTCAAGACCCTCCCCTCAAAATGATACAGTATATATTCAGTTTAATCCAGGATCATATGTTGCATCTAGTTGTTAGGTGGGTTTTTGTTTGTTTGTTTGTTTTGAGACAGGGTCTTGCTATGCTGTTTAGGCTGGCCTTGAATTCACTGTGTAACCCAACCACAACCTGCTCTGTCTCCCAAGTGCTTCCCAAGTGTGCCACTATGCCTGGCTTGTTAGGTCTTTGTAAGTCTCTTCAATTTTGGGGGGGGGGGGGGCTTTGAGCTGTCATACGTTTTCCAGTCTTATTTTTTGAGACAGGATATATATATATTTTTTTTACATCGAACTCAGGACCTCATGCTTAGCAGATGGTGCTGTGCTGCTGAGCTAAGTTCCTGGCCCAAGACAAGACTTTTCTGAATTGCTAATTTATCAGGATGATTCCAGTCATCTTGTCTTGGCTTCCTAAAGTGCTAGGATTACAGGCCTGTGACACCAGGGCTAGCTTCTTCAAGCTTTAATTGAGTGTTCTTGCTTTTTCTTCTGTAACGCTAATTTTTAAAAATTTTAATGTAATTTAATATTTTTGGTTTTCTTTTGATTTTTATGAGGCAGGGTCTCACTATGTATTTCAGGCTGGCCTTCAACTTGCTGTGTAGCCTAGGCTGGTCTCAAACTCACAGTGATCCTCCTCCTCCAACCTCCCACATGTTAGGATTGCAAAAATGTGCTACCATGCCCAGTGACACAGTTTTTTTTTTTTTTAAACCGGTACCAGGAATCAAACTCACAACCATGCATTTGCAAGGCAGGCGCTTATGCCACTGAGCTAAATCCCCAGCCCAACACAGATGTTTTTACCATATCTTTTTTTTTTTTTTTTTGTGCTGGGGATCAAACTCAGGATCTTGCACTTGCCAGGTAGGCAGTTATGCCACTGAACTAAAATCCCCAGCTTGACGCTGAAGTTTTTAAAAGAACTACCTACTGGGCATGGCGGCTGATGCCTGCTGGCCCTGCTGCTCAAGAGCCTGAGATTGGAGTACTGCAAGCTTGAGCCCAGTCTGACCAACTTTGTGATGATCCTATAGTAAAATAAAATTTTAAAAAGGCCTGGGAGGCAGTGTTGTGGCAGGGCAATTTTCTAGAATGGGCAAAGCCCTGGGTTTAATTCTCATCACTATAAAATCAAAAAAAGAAAAGGTGTGGATGAGTTATTTTATACACTGTCCCTCGGTGTTTAGTTGATGGTCACATAAATCAGGTTCTGCATCCTCCACAGGAGAGTGTATGAGTGCAACCATGTCCCTCAATGCGATGCACTGTATCAGGAGTTACATGGTGGTAGGCAGACTGGTCTTGTATTAGTGCTGTTTGCCAATGCTCTCCACATTTCTCCCAGTAACTGGTAAATCATCCTGGGGGTGGTATAATAATTCTTTATCATTTTTCATTTTTTCTTAGTCTTATATTTGTGATGTATTGCTCATTTTGATACTTTAAGATATTTCAAATCTGTTTTATGCCATCTATGTGTTAAGACACTTATTAACTCAAAAGTGTTCTTTACTTGTGTATTCTAATCATTCTCAAGATTTTTTTTTTTATGTATTAGGTTTTTGCCTGCATTGTAACATATTGGTGTTTTGACCATTTGGAATGTATAATTATGTGTGTTTGGGATTGTACATTTGGAATTGTAGTGTTTTTTGATCTGAAAAGACATTAAAAGAAATACCCACTCCTACCGAGGTGTGAGGCTCCCTTTGCCACCTACCAAGTTTGTTTGGACCTCTGTTCTCTTTCCTTCACTGGGTTGCTTAGTTATTGAAACTAAAGAAGAGTCTTTAATCAGGTGGAGGAATTCTCCACTCTTCTTTCTCCTTTCCTTATGTTTGCTAAAGAGTGGTCTTAGATATTTCAGGAACTGTCCTCTTATGTATGATTTACAGGAGCTGTTTGTCATGCTCTAGTAAAATTTCTTGTAGGAAGGTATTGCTTTTATAGTTTTATCTGTCATAGTCGTGGTTTCAGTATAGGGTTTTGTTATCCTTTCGCCAGGTCCAACTCCGCACTTAGTCCAAATTATCTTTTGAGATTTAATTTTTCTTAGCTTTTCTTTCTCATTCTTTGCTTCTTCTATTTTATAATTTTTTTGTGTGTGGTACTGGGGCTTGGATAGGGTTTCACTATATCTCTGCATTGCCCAGGCTGTTTTTGAACCTGAGATCCTTTTGACTCAGCATCTCATGGTGGTGGGATTACAGGACTGTGATTTGAAATGATTAGACTTTTTAGCTGGGAGTTGTTTTAGGAGAACGTGATTTTTGGTTTCAGAGGTTATTCCTTAGAAACTTAATATTGCTGGACATCTGAGCTCCTATAAATTAAACAGATACAAATCCTTTGTGGTTGTGCATGTGATCTAGGACATACATTAACCTTGTTGAGTGTACACATGTTAAAATAGTTATCAATTCGATCATTCTCCACCAGCTCCTTTAGCTAGGGTTGATAATCTCTCAAAAGCCTGTGTAATAGTTCCATCAGGAGCTGTATTATTGAGAATGAAGGTACAACATTTCCCACTCATCATGACATAGACAGCTCTTTTTTTCTGTTGGTATTGTATCTGTGCAATTCTGTTTTTTTAGCGCATTTGACTGGTCGCATCCAACTGCCTGCCTATTCCTTGTAGGGCATATCTAGTGAGGAATCTTTAATTATAATATATATTTAATCCAGTCTTTTTATTAATTGTGGACCGCCAGAATAGTGTTGACTCAGAGTCTGTAACTATTTCCTTCTGGTCCTTGAACTCATTGAAAACTCTTTGAGAAACTCCAATTGAATCAATATAAATAGTTGAATCAAATGAACCAGTTTTTGACCTATTACTCTTATGACTGAGATCCTTCTAGGGCTACTTGTGTAATGCTAAGTTGAATGAGATAGCTAGTTAGACTAAAGTACAGGTTCCTGTACAATTAGATGGGAGTCTACCAAAAATGTTCCATTATCCACAAAATCACCAGATGTCAGTAGAGTGTACATGGAAAGCAGGGTGATTGTGACTATCTGGTCTTCCAGTGATGTTCAAGATTTGGTGTACATCTTAAGCTCTGCTATGAGTTTATGAAACTCCTTGCCTAGAAAGGGAAGATGAGTGATTCATACTTCCTATATTGAAGGAGGGACCCACTCTCAGGTTGGACTTTGGCAGTGCAGAGAAAACCAATGGGAAGTTCTTAAAGGTCTCATTTCCTCATGCATCTTTGTGCTGGTACAGGGCGAACATGCAGCACAATCCCTGATGGTCTGTATTTCTGCTGAGGGGAAACGAAACGACCTGTGCCTATGGATGACTGGCAGTGTAGCAGTCACCCTTATTAAGGACACACACTGAGAATTTTACCCATTTGAGCCAAGCATTTGTATCTCCATCTCCAGTGTCTATCTCTAGAGTTTGTCTGTGTTTAACTTCTATTTTTATTCTTTGAGGGTCACTTTGAAGGAACTCTTCTGCACATGGGGTGGGAATCTCTTTGGTGAAGTTAGTTACAACTTGAAGGGTTAGGGATCCTGTTGGATTCTCTTCAGGAACACCTGTCCCTAGTCCACTGATTGTGTGCTACCTCAGAGTTCTGATCTAGTGAAGCTGCATTACCAAGAGTCAGGAATGCTGGATTACATTGTAATTTCTGACAATTGGAGGGGTAGAACATTTATACAAGTGTAACTTTTAAAAAGCATTTTACTCCTGATGATTTTATATCAGCTAGCTATCCTTGTTTTTGAGTGGGCCACCATACATCAAGGAGAGGAGGGAACATGGGATGTCTGTGCACTTCCCCATCCTAACACTGTAGGAGTGTTTATCGGATCTGTGAGAGTTGTCTTTGAATTTTCAAATTCTCACAGGGCCAAGCTTGACAGAGTCAAGTTTCATGGTTTGAGGTTTAGAAGTTCTAGTTATGTTTATTAGCATCTTAACTGGATAGAATTACCTCATTTTGTGGGCTTTTGATACCTTTTCATCATTAATTTGCAGTATTTTTTCTGCCTGAAGGGAACTAAACTGATCAGCTAAACCAGGACACCCTTCATTATTGAACTTTTTTGGTCTCTTAATTTTAGTATCAAAATATCCTTACTTGATCCTTACATATCCCACTGAATTTGTTCTACACTTTCCCCAGTTTCCTCTGTTAGCCCCTTAGTTCAAGTGTAGTGAGTCCATCTTTTTCTGCTGTTTGTGTGATGGTCTTATTTCAGGAACATTTGATTAGGTTCTTCTCAATTTGGGAGGAGCTTAATCCTCTTTTTAGGTCTTCATCAACACCAGGTTGAAACTGGGTTGAACACTGGGTCATAACTGATGAACTGTGAACTCCAGAGGTGGGGTCTGGGTTAGGAGACTTTTCAGCCTGAGGGAAGATAACATGGAGGACGTGGTCAGTACATAACTTGCTTAGATATTGGTCTTCAATTTCCAAAGTATGGAGATCTGTAGCTCTGCCCAAATATGGGAGGCTATATAGCAATTTATAGGAGACAGCCCTAAAACACCCCTTGTATATTTTTGGAGAGAGATAAAGAGAAAAGGAAAGGAAGACAAGAAAAAACAGAAAAGATGAGGTTTTTATTAGGTTCCCTGTTTAGGTCCTTCATGAACTGCCTAAATGTACTGTAAGGTCACATCGCATGTGCGGCATGGCCCAAAACTGCAGCCTGCCTGACTTGTTTTTGTCATGACTTGCCTGTGTATCTTTTCCAGTCATACAGAGATCTGTTGTTTATATCCAGAACAAGCATCCTTGTTGCTAATACATAGCTATTTTAATCTTTATTAGCAGATGAGGAAGGCAGGAAAAAGGAGTTGTACATAACAGCTGGACTTTACCTTGAAATGTCCCCTACAGATTTTTATATCTAGGGATCTGTGACCTATAAGGAACTCATGGAAGGTTTAAAATGTCTGGAAATGTTGTTTGGCAACTATAACTTATATACTGTTTTAACACAATTTTAAAGCAATTATAAATATTCTTAACCACCACAAACAACTTTAGTTAGAAAGTCACCATCATAATTTGTTTTATTCAGCTTTGCATATTTGAAGGCCTGGATACTTGGGAAAAACAAATACATTTAATACACTGTGAGGTTAGCAATAATTAATGTAATCAAAAGGTTAACAATGGAGAACACAAGAGACTAAGTACAATGCGAACCTTTGAGGAATAAGGGAAAGCAGAAGGGAAAATAAGTAGAATAAAGCTATGCCATGTACAGGAACCTAATAACCTTAATGAATATGAACACTGTGTGCCATATGCATGAGCTAAGATTAATAATATTAATAAGAATGCAAATGAAAGGGAATTAGAGAAGAAGGGAGAGGGCAGAGGATTAAAAAAAGGAGACAGATTATATTTCATATATGTACCTACTCCCCAGGATGATTATAAAATGTATATACTACAAATATGCACTGGTAAATAAGAAAGAACTTTTGTTCTTTAATTTTGTAAGTTTAACCAAGAACATTGTAATATCTTAAGAAGAACTAATTGTTTTACACATAGAGAACTTAACTATTTGATTATAGCCAATATAAATATATTATAGTAATATTTAACAATGTTTGTTGGGTATGCCACTATAAGGCTCTGGGAAAATTGCCAAAGTCCTATCAGTGGATACTTGGGGGAGCCTTGTCCAGCAGTTCCTCCAAATCTGATTATTTTAGATAAGAAAACCAAGTATAAGAGTTAACTTGGTTTAAAGCTGTGTGTATTATCTTTTGATGAAGGGAAAAAACCCTTAAGTTATTGTATGTAGATGACAGGTGGCAAACATTATCAAGCTGTTTTTTCAGACTGAAAAAGGAAATCAAATAAAAAATATAGATCTTTCTTAATACATAAAGTAGTATCTTTATAGTAAAACATTCTGCTTTAGTCAAGTAACACTGCAGCTGTTCTTTTGATAATTCAGCCAATCCATCAAATTAGTTAAATAGGAAAGAGAAAACTAGAGATTTAATAGCTCTTCTAAAAATAACATGAATTCCTTCATTTTATAAATATTTTGTACGTATTCATCTTAGTTAAAAATAATACCACTACCTTAAAATACAAATAATTCTTTATATAAATGAGATTTTAGGAACAATGGATAGAATATGTTGGTGGTAGCTGGTGATATACTTAAGTAATAATCTGTTATGTCAGAGGCTCACAGAATAAAGTAAAATAGTCATGTCTGACTGTAATAAACATTTTAATTTAAAAGGTCAGAAATACCAGTTGTCTCAATATTATAAAGTAGGAGTGGGACAGGATGGTGAAAAAAAATTGACAATGATGAATATATGAGGAGCCCTTTACAGAGAGCTGCTCATCCTCTAGGCTGAAAAGCTCAAGCAGGATACAGTTTTCTTCACAGCATAGCAGAAGAGTCTCTAATAGATCCAGAAGTCAGATCCTGAACTTTCAGGCAACCAGTTTGTGCTGTTTTTCCAGTGAGAAGGCAGATCTCTGATCACAGAGCTAGGCAGGACCTTCTTACTCTGTGTGTGTGCAGTTAGAAATATGTTGGGAATATATATGGATTGTTGGTGTGGTCACTGGTATTGTGAACACACTCAGGGGCCAGGATGGTGACCATGATGAGTAATGATATCTGGCCTGTTTTATATCTCCAGCTAATCCTTTTGATGGTATTCCTGAGGCTTATCTTGACTATTGTCAGAGAGGATAAAATACTGTGCTTTTCTTGGAACCTGGTTTTGGCTTTATTTCTCTGCTCTCAGTTTTGTCTTTCCCTTTCACAGATAGGAATTTTAAAAAGGAAACAAGTGAAATTATACAATCACCCATTTAACCCATCATCCTTTCCTATACTCTTCAAGACACAGGTTTGTGAAGCTCACTCTGCCTTCTTTCTCTTTGCTTCTCAGCTTTGGACATGAAATTGACAACAGTGGCTCAGAAGGTTCCCATGGAAGAATTGTCTTGTGATATGGAAATGGAAGGATTTGTGAGAGATGACCCCTCCTTGCTGGTTGTAGGTGGCAACTGGGATTCTGAGAACCACAAGAGACAGCTGAGGCAATCTGGTGTACTTCAGGAGAAACCAGAGGTTCAGGAAGCAGTTTCTGAATATCTTGGCTTTGGCGAGCATTTGAGTGCAAGTTGGAGCCTTCCACTGTCTCAGAGAGTTTCTACATTAAATGGTTTCCATGAGGCAGATGCCAAAATGTTAGACTGTGACCGAGCTTTACACAATTACTCCAAAAAGTATGCAAGCAAGAGAACTGGTGACAATGATGCCTGTGGAAAATCCTTCCACCACTCCTTGGAAGTTACTCAGTTTGAAAGAAATCAAATGAGAGACAAGCCCTGTAAATACCCTGAAAATGTTAAATCCATCAACCATTTTGCCCAAATTGGTGATCAAAAAATAATAAAAAGAGGAAAGAAACTGTATGAAGACAATGACTTTGGGCACATCTTTGCCTTGAGCTCGTCTCTGAGTGAGAACAGGAGGAGTCACCTCACTGAGAAACCATACAAATGTACTGAATGTGGCAAATGCTTCAAACGCAACTCTTCTCTAGTTCTGCATCACCGAACACACACTGGAGAGAAACCTTATACCTGTAATGAGTGTGGAAAATCTTTTTCCAAGAACTACAACTTGATTGTGCATCAAAGGATCCACACAGGTGAAAAGCCATATAAATGCAATAAATGTGGGAAAGCTTTTAGTGATGGGTCAGCTCTGACTCAGCACCAGAGGATTCACACAGGTGAGAAGCCTTACGAATGTCTAGAATGTGGAAAAACCTTTAACCGAAATTCATCTTTGATTTTGCATCAAAGGACTCATACAGGAGAGAAACCATATAGATGCAATGAGTGTGGGAAACCCTTCACTGATATCTCTCACCTTACTGTGCATCTCAGAATCCATACAGGTGAAAAGCCCTATGAGTGCAGTAAGTGTGGAAAGGCTTTCCGAGATGGCTCATACCTTACCCAGCATGAGAGAACTCACACTGGAGAGAAGCCTTTTGAGTGTATGGAGTGTGGGAAATCCTTCAACCGTAATTCTCACCTCATTGTGCATCAAAAAATCCATTCTGGGGAGAAACCTTATGAGTGTAAAGAGTGTGGGAAGACATTCATTGAGAGTGCATATCTCATCAGACACCAGAGGATTCATACTGGTGAGAAGCCCTATGGCTGTAACCAGTGTCAGAAGCTTTTCAGAAACATTGCCGGCCTCATCCGGCACCAGAGGACTCATACTGGCGAGAAGCCCTATGAGTGTAATCAGTGTGGCAAAGCTTTCCGGGACAGCTCCTGTCTAACCAAGCACCAGAGGATTCACACTAAGGAATCTCCATACCGGTGTCTGCAGTGTGGGAAGTCCTTTAAGCAGAACTCTCATCTGGCAGTTCATCAGAGACTACATAATAGGGAGAGCCCCCACCAGTGTCCTCGGTGTGAGAAGTCATTCAGGAGGAGCTCATCCCTTGTTCGACATCAGAGAGCACATCTTGAACAGCATCCTGTGGAAACATAAAGAATGCAGATGACCATACTTCTCCCAATTGACTAAAAAACTGCACAAAGGTGGTGCAGCTTCAGATGTGACTTCCTGGTCCTTAAGCTACCTAGAGAATTGGTTATTGTAAGACATTCTATAGCCTAGTTAAGCTCATTATTTAGGAACTGCTGGAGAAAACATTAGATGGTAAATGTGAAAAAGACTTCAAGGATCATAAAGCCAGTCCAGTCATGATAGTGCATACATGGGAATAAAACATGAGAATGTGAAGAGCACTTCCATCAAGACATCTACCATTTTTCAGCATGCCAGAATTTGGATGTAGTCAGTAAGTGATCATTAGAAGGAAACCTTTAATAGGGAGCATCCATCTACTTTCTAGAAGCAAATGCTTATTAGAATCAGACCTTGTGAGTGTAGTCAGGAAGAGAAGCTGTTGGAAGGAGTTTTCAACCAGCCGTTTTCTGTATCAGCAAAGACTTCCCAGTGCACAACCCCATATACCACAACAACCACAGAGCTGGAGTTTGCTTGGTGGAATTGTTTCTCTGTTATAGTCCTCGGAGGACTCGTGGGAAACTGGACAGAACATTTGCTACTGAAGGAAGAGTGACAGCATCTTTGCTAAGACTAAAACCTGCTTCTAGGATTGAAAATGGTACTTTGAAGAAAAATGTGTTGCTTTAGTTGTTCAAACTATGAAATAATTAGTAGTTGTGTTTACCTGGCCACTTCCCTAGCCCCACTTTGTTCTTCATTGAGGATTTCTAATTTATTCTGTTCAGTCACTCTGACTTGTAATTACAAGGGTTTTGTTGCCATGTTGAAAATGCTTACAATATGGCAAAAAGAAGCCATAAAATAGATCACTCTCTTTCCTGTAAAGATGTGTGCGCATATGCTTATTATAGCTTAGAAATAGATGATAGAGAAATAAATCATTAGGGTACTAGAATTTTGTATGGTTTTTTTTCTTCTATTACAAATTGTACATTATTGGTATAATAACTTGATAGTAAATGCATGAAACCTGAGAAGGTAAATTTGGGGATTCTTTAAATCTTTTCTACTAATAATGCCTAGATCAGGGCTAGAGGACCTCATAAGCTCCAAAGCAGAAGTGTCCCTATGGTCAGACAGCCCAGGGTACCAGAATCATTTCCTTCTTTGGGACTTGAACTGTAAGGGTTTTGTCATTGTGGAGGAGCAGGTAGAGAATGGCGAACCAGAGTTTTCAGTGAAGCCTCAGACAGCTCTAGAATGGCCATTTGAAGACTGCAAAGGCACAAGAGTTGATGCCCTGGGAATTTTGACTGCCTACTCACCCCTAAGTTCTATTCCCTGGCTTCCATGGTAGGAGAGAAGTGTGAAGGCTATCCTGAGCTAAGTAAGGCTGAACTACATGAATTAGAAATCAGACTAGTTAAATGCATGGCACAGTGTATATGTCTATAATCATGTTGGGAATCTGAGGCAGGAATATTGCATGTTCAAGCCCAGCCCAGGCAATTTAGTGACTTAGGAGATCTTCTCTAAAAACTTTAAACGGTCTAGTTGTATAGCTTAGTAAAAGGCCCTGGGTTTAATCCTTGGCACCACAAAAAATTAATAAAATAAATCAAGGCAGGGGTCTCTGTATGTTTGCCCTTCTGTGACAGAACCATCAGGTGAGCCATGCGGAGGCCTTAGACAGCCTTGGAAAAGACTGCACATTGGTATGTATAGATGTCTGTTTCTTTCACAGACACAGTCTCCCTCAGATTGTCCAAGAGTGGGTAAAAAAATCTAACCCTTAGGTTTGTTTTGAGTTGCCATTTCCAGACAGATTGTCTTTAGGATGTGTCAATCTGACCAGTGTCTTTTAGTGCTTGGCATGTGGACTATTCCTGGAAGAGGTGACCAAAGGGAAGAAGGAATGCCGCTTGAACTTTCTTACAGTGTCAGGCCCATTCTTCTTCATGTATACCCCTTAGATGCTTCAACATGTACTTGTCCCTAGATGGGGAAACCAGAGGAGGAGAGAGAAGAGGAGGGCAGCAGCATCTGGAAAGAGCCCCGTGCAGGCCTGTTTTCCTGTTCCTCTGGCAGTGCAGCTCATGCTCAGTGCCCTCCCCCGTCTTCATTAAACTGTCTTGTCCCAGATCTTGTCATCAGCCTCTCCTTGATAATCCAGTGTCTTCTCAAGTGTCCTATCTCTAGAGCTTCTTCCGGAGGATGGGCAGGACTTTAGGCTGGGTCTTAGCCGGTTACAGGGGTTTGAATACTGCTGTGGATTTTCTGAGCTGTGGCTCTCTAGACAAAGCATCCTCATCCCAGAATCTGAAGGTTCAGTGACAGTTGTAGGACTGGCATGAGCAGCCTACAGGTTCTGGGACTTGTGACCTGGTGTCTCCACAGTGCTGAAATTCTGAGGTCTTCACTCAGTGAGACCAATGGAGAAGGTTTCCTGGCAGCCACTCTTTTCTAGGCACCTCCTCTTGCAGAACCAGTCCTAGCAGCTTCCTGTGTGCTCTGTGCTTTGGAACAACAGAAGACAGGAGTGAGCGCTGGCCTGGACCTGGCCGATGCAGCTGCGTCCCAGAGAACGGTGGGTGCCAGCACTGATAGAACCAGAGACAGTGAGGCAGCAGGAGGGAAGAGTGCAGCCTAGGGAAGCACTTGGAAAGATACTGAAGCTGATTGCATTTGAATGGTCTGCAGCAGAGTGGAGGCTGGTGATAGTGGTGCTGAGTTCCAGGGACCCTGGCTGCAGGACAGTGTGACTGACATGAGGGGATCCAACTGGCGTGTGCCCTTGAGAGATTGTGTGTGTGTGTGTGTGTGTGTGTGTGTGTGTGTGTGTGTGTGTGTTTTAATAAAGCCCGCTACCGAGGAGTACAACTCCTTCGCCTAACTTTGGTCAGGCTCCTCTGATTCCTCTGCTCCATGAGATATGACTTTGGACTGCCCTTTTTGTTCTTGTAGGATCTACTTCAGGCAAGTGTCCTGCCGACCCCATTTTGCAATACCCCTCCCACCCACCAGGGTTTAAGCACCCTTGTTATCTATTAAACTCCTCATGGCCCACTTTTGCTATCTTAGCTCCCCAATCTGCATCAAGCTGAGCTGTTCCATAATTTCTCACACAATGATTCCCACTCTGCTGCTTGGTTATTTTATTTTATTTTATGAACTGAGGGTTGAGCCCAGGGCCTGTGCACTGAGCTGTACTTTCAACCCTTTTATTTATTTTTAAATTTGAGGGTAGAAGGAAGAAAGGAAGGACCTCTTAATTTTTGGTCCATAAACCCTTTTTCAGGTTAATTGTATTTCCTACACAGAGTATCTCAGTGGACCTTACCTCCTGATCTACTCTGCCTGTGTTTCTTTTTTTTTTTAGTATATCAAGGCCATATATATTAGAGATTATAGCCAACCTTCTCTGCCTCATTTCTGCTATGCTATTTTTCTGCCATTAGACGTCTGCTCCTCTTCTTCATTCCACTTTCTGCCCCATTCATTGAGGCCTCTTTTCCACTCTACCTGAAATCCTGGTACTTTATTTCTCTCTCTAGAATGTCCTTCAGTATTCTCTGTAGGGTTGGATTGGTGGTTGCTAATTCCCCCAGTTGTTCTTTGTCTTGGAAGCATCTTATTTTTCCATTAATTTCTAGAGTCAGTTTTTCAGGGTACATCAATCTGGGCTGGAGGTTATTTTCTTTCAGGGTTTAGAATACTTTGCTCCAAGCTATTCTTGATTTGATGGTCTGTATTGAGAAGTTTGCCATAATTTTGTTGGGGTTTCCTTTATAGATGATCGGGTTTTTTTTCTATGACAGCTTTTAATATTCTGTTCTTATATTGAATTTCTGGGAACTTAATTATTATATGCCTGGGTGTAGCTTTGTTTTGGTTGTAGGTGGCTGGAGTTCTGTATGTCTCATACATCTGAATATCATTTCCTTTTCCTGTGCTTGGGAAGTTTTCCTTAATTATTCCTGTGAATAGCCTTTGTAGTTTCTTTGTACCCCTGCTTCTTCATTCACATTTCTTTATTCTTTAGTTATAGATGCTTTTGTTATCTGCTAGCCTTTGTATTGCTACTGCCTGTTTTCTTGTTATTTTTAAGAGATCTTTCCTTTCATGATCACACATTGCAAACCTGTCTTCAAGTTTTGATAGTCTATCCTTAGTTTCATTCAAGCAGTTTTGCCAGCTTTCCGTGGAGTTTTTAATTTCCAGGTAATCTCTTTGAATCTGCTTCATGTATTCTAGGTTTTCTTTATACTCTTCATCAAATGGTTCTCTCCTTTTTTTTGTGTTCCTCCATTATTCTGTCTGTGTCTTCTTGAGAGGTGCTTAGCATTTCTTTTATTAATCTACTTATATCTTGCTTTACTTAATTAAATATTTCATGTTTGAGGTCTTGAAGATATCTCTTTATGTCCACTGATGCCAGATATTGCCTGTTTGCTGCCCTCAGTCTCTTTTGTATTTACCTCCCCTGGATCAATATTCTCAGGGCTGGGGGGAATTTTTCTTATTTCTTTCTCTTATCATGTTTTTGGTTTCTTCCCCAAAGGTGTATAGAGGAGGTCCCACCCCCTTTCCTTGTTGGTTATAGTTCTTCTGAAGTGTGCTGGCTAGGGATTTCTGCCCTCCCCAGTTTACTGTTGGTCATCGAGGTGCAAACAGCGGTGGTGTATGCTGGACCCTCCCCTGCATGTCAGTCAACCTGTGGGGGGCCTTCACTGTGTTAGTGTGCCACATGTATAGAATTTGTTTGGGACAACTTACTGGGTCCTGGCCAGGGGCATGACCCTGGCCAACCAGATCCTATGAATCTGGTCTGGGAAGGTTACAACTCAATGAAGTCACTGCTGTTCCTTGTTCCTGCCCATCCTACTTGATTCCAAAATGTCATCCAGTTGATCAAGTGTTTCCCATGGGAGTGTCTTATTCACAGCATTCACCGTGGGTCAATGTAGGTACCTTGCAGCTCTGTTCTCCATTGAGCTCACCAACCTCTGACTTCAGTGCAACTGTGGATGCAGTGAGTCACAGTGGCATCAGTTAAGGCAGCTCAGGCAAGTTGCAGTTGTGGGAGTTCAGGCACTCCAGCGAGAGCACCGTGGCCACTAATCTTAGCTGCTCCAATGGTAGCCCCAGGACTGCATGTTTGGTTTCTTCCCTTTGATTTCTTTTCCCTTTGGTTTCTTCCTGTGCCAGGAGGATCCATCTCCCTCTGTCCAGACCTTTCCATGATGTTTTATTCTGGCATCTGCATTGTCTGTCTCAGAGAGACTCTGTATTCTCTGCTTATCGATCCACCATCTTTACCTCCTCCTTATTGTATATTTTGAATCCCACCAACTCCTTCAGTTTTTTACACTAGGAGATAACACAATGTTCACCCATATGAGTGTGAATAATTTCATCCAAGAGCATGGTCTCCAGTTGCATCCAGTTACATACAAGAGCCTTGAAATTATCCATTATAGATGAATAGCTCTCACTGTATGAAAATCCCATGGCTTTCTTCTCCTTTCTGTGATTGATGGACAAGATATTCTTGCTTTTTTCTGGTTTCCTGTCACATAGAATATTGTTTTCTCTCCTTTGACTTTTGGCTTATGGATTTCTTCTCAGGTTCAATGTATTTATTGTACACAGCATATTGATGGAACTTGTTTCTTGATCCACTCTCCCTGTGTTTCTTTTTATTAGTGAATTGAGGCCATTTACATCAATGATTACAATCAACATGTATTGGCTAATATCTGTCATGCTGTCCTCCTGCTGCTGGGCTGCACTTTTGCCCTCTGTTCAATTGCTTGCCCTGTTTGGCAGTCCCCCTCTGCTGCTATTCCTGGATCTCTGGTCATCTTCATTTCTCTCTGTAGTATCCTCTAGTGCTCTTTGCAGGGTTGGTTTGATGGTCACAAATTTCTTCAGTTGTTCTTTATCATGGAAATA